ACGGCGGCTGCTCCCGAATCTCCTCGGCTACAAGTCCATAAACACACTCAATCAAATACTAAACACTGCGCTTGGGGTAAAATGACTCTTTTACCCTCGGTCAAAGTCAATTATCTTTTGGGCTGACTCGCCGAGTTGGGCCACCCAACTCGCCGAGTCCCACTCTCCTTTTCACTCTTACTCACTGCTACTCGTCGAGTCTGGCATCGACTCGACGAGTACCCTCTTGATCCAAGAACTCAGACAATCTTCATCTGACTCGCCGAGCCGGATGAACAAACTCGACGAGTTGTTCTTGATCTTTAAGAAGATTGCCTTGGACTCGCCGAGTTGATGAACAACTCGCCGAGTCCCTCCATCACTGAGTTTACCCTCAACTCGCTGAGTCCACTCCCTAACTCACCTCGTCCACTCGACACTGATAAAACTGAAGAACTCGGGACTCGCGACCCAACTCGTCGAGTCGTTCTTCCGACTCGCCGAGTTGCCGCCATGCAACTGATTTTTACTTGATTTTGTTTGAATCCAACGCATACAATTGATAGATCTGGGTCCAATAAGCTGATTTACCACGTAAAGTTTCCAACTTTACGTGTACAACCTCATGAATAAGGGAAATAAGGCTAAAAGATGCACAAAATGGGTAGATCTATGGTTATCATGCAATATAACTCCAAAAAGACAGTAGATATGGGCTCTACAACACCCCAACATTCAGATCCATAGCTATTTCGACTTAATAAGGCGTTCATGCAAGTGTAAGGCTTGGAACAAGCAATCAACTAGCTCTTAGGAGAGCTCTAATGGAAGTTTAAAGCATATAACAAGATGGAACTCCGAAAATACCTCAATTAACTCTGATTTGGCCATGGATCTTTGCACTACAACACTTCTCCTTGCTTCTTCCTTCTTCTCCTTCTTCACACCTTCACAAAATGGCACCAAAACACATATAAGCTCTTCAAGGGAGGTTTAGGGTTCTAACACTGCGTTCTCAGGGTGAGGGAGGCGAGGATGGGGGCTATAAGGTGGTATAAATAGTGGGCAACCCGGGGATTTTAGGGTTTCACCCAGACAGATGGACTCGCCGAGTCAGGGATATGGACTCACCGAGTCCCTCTTGAAAAACTCACTATAATTGCCAATAAATCAACATACCGGGAACGGGTCATTACATTAAGGGTATATTCACTTTTCCATATATATATATATATATATATATATATATATATATATATATATATATATATGTTCAAATGTTTCCAATAAATATTGTGTGCCTAAATGCACCAATGAGAATTCAAGAAATAATAAATAATTAAATAAACATTAAAGGGTATTTTGGACCTTTTGTACTTTTAATTAAGGAAATCATTTAATTGAAATCCTACAATTGTGGAAATAAAGTAAATATATTTTACCTAGTCCTTCACCTTCGTTTCTTGCCATCATTTCCGTCTGCTGTCATCAATCTAAACCATTTCAATCAGCCTTCATCTTCTAGATTTTCGTTTCAGTTTGAACACCGATGGATGTTTGATTAGAGATAGCTTCAACACGAATCTTGAATAGGAAGGGGTTCAATTTGAGGACAAGGGTATAACCAAATAATGTAAAACCAATTAAACACCAATTGGGGTGAGGTTTGATTCTTATCTCCTTCGTAGCCAACATTCTATTCACCACATCTGTTGAACAATTTGATTTTAAATTGCTTTTCAAGTTTCTATTAATTCTCAGGTTCAATTTTTCTTGATTCTTTATCTTGTACTCAATAATTAACTTGAACATGTTATGCTTGATGTAATTTCCCAAATAAAGTTAACCTGATTCCAAATCTTTTATAATAAAATGTTTGTCAACTTATTTCTGTTGTTGACCTTGTATATTGTAGGTATACCTTCAGAATTTGGTCTTTAATATTCTGACTTTAAAGTGTTTGTGAAAAGTCCTCAACGAATGAGAGTAACAATGCAGACTTTTATACCTTTTTGTGAAAGGAGTACAGAAAACTTGAAGTAAACCCACGATTGTATCCGACAATGGGAAGATGTTAACATATCTTTTACTAATGCACATGTAAGTCTTTGTTATTATTCATTGATTCTTTTTCTACATAGAATGTTATGAATGGAGTAGCATATGATTGATTTGTATGATATTTGTGAATAGTATGTTAATAAACACGCCATGTAGGAGTGTTTTTCTTTCTCCATTGGAGAATAAGGCTGTAATATGTTTTTGAAGTCTATAAATATAGCTTGCTCAAGGCTTGTTTTCATGTTAGTATGAATGTCATTCAGTTTGGATTTAGAATGTAAAAAACAATAAACATGTGTAAAATAGCGATTATGATAGAATATTCAAAACCATTATGCAAGAATAATTTATTATGTAAGAATATTTATTGTTGTATTCTGATAGAATTGTAGTTAATTGTTTATATGTTTAATGTGCAGTTGTTACAAGTGTATCACTACAAAATATTTTGCAATAAATTTGTAATAGAAATGGCTTGAAGAATGGCTTGAAGGCCTGATGGGAAATGTTTGAAGAATGAATTAAAGAATGATCACACTCATAGAATGTAATTAAAAATGTTGTTATTTTTTAGCAATTAGACTTGTTATTTTTTTCAGAATGTTGTTATTATTCAATGAATCACAATCATACAATGTAATTATTTGGTATATTATTAGTTCAAGAATCGATTTTGTGTATTATTTCAGAATGTATTTAGTAGTTTATGATTGGTATTATGTCATTCTGACAGATGAAATCGAAAATATATTTACTAGTTCATGGTTGACATTCTATCATTCTGGCAGAACAAAATCGAAAAATATTTACTAGTTTATGGTTGGCATTGTATCATTCTGACAGAATAAAATCGGATTTTTAAATTAGAAATAGTTTAAAATATTCAAAAATTTTAAAATAAAAGAATTAATTGTCCCTAAATTTAGAAAATTTCCTTTTTTAATATAGGTTAATTGACTAAAATGCCCTTATGATGAAATTAATGTGATTATATGGTACATGTTATCATATTCTAATATCATAGACCCTTATATCATGACCTTTGATTCTATTCCATCTGATGGTCCAGATCTGTGCATTCTAGCACACAATAGTTAATATAAACAATATAACCTAACCCTATATCTATCTATCTATCTATCTATATATATATATATATATATATATATATATATATATATATGTGTGTGTGTGTGTGTGTGTGTATGTATGTATGTATGTATGTTTAGGTTATTGTGTTCTAACTAGTTATTTTGTGGATGTAGGAATGATTGTGTACCAATCATTTTACTTATTTTAAGAAAGTTATTTATCAATATTATTAAATTAAAAAATAAAATTATACCATTTAATTTAAATAAGGGTAAAAATGTACATTTCCATTAATTTCAAATTATGAAACACAAATTTAAAAATGGAATTTTCGAATTTTAAGGGATTTTTTATTATGTTAATTTTGAATTATGATTTTTTAATTAATTTAATTTTAAATCTGTCAAAATGTGATTTTGTTAAATAATGTTCAATGAGATTGTTTTGTCAGAATGTAATTCTATAAGAATATTATTGAAATATAAAAAATTTCTTGAACTTGTGGTTGAATAATAACATTCTTATATATTCATACACATCCAAACTTAAATACAAATTTAAATATATTCTTACAGCCTATTAGTCTAATACATTTTAATATAACTATAATATTCTAACAGAATATCAGCAAAATGAATAAAATTCTTAAGAATAAATTCTTAAGGAGTCGTCTTGTTGGTGCTTCTTTTTTACTTGAATCAAAGCACTTAGGTAATGTTCGATGACCAGTAAGAAACCTTGACTAAGTTAAGAGTTGCTTCTTAGTCGTGTAGAGTGCCTACCTCATGAGAAACAACATCGCACAACTTTTGAAGATCACTTGATGGTGGTGTTGGGGGAAAAGTAGAGTAGTGATATAACAAAAAATGCTTCCGATTCAAGATAATGACATTTTACCACTTGGGTTTCAATAAAGACTTCATAATCTTGGAGAAAACCGGGCAAACACACATAATTACACGTGCATTGCTCTCTGGGCACTTCATGAACAACTGGTGTGTACGAAAAAAATCCAAGAACAAGGACCTCAACACGTAAAACCCGGTAAAAACCGGACCGGACTGGAAAAAACCGGACCTGTTTTGATGGATTCCTAGAACCGAGAACCGGCCCGGGGGTCCAAAAAAACGGTCCGGTCCGGTTCACCGGTCCGAATGCTCACCATTAACTAAATCTACATTGTAAAAATCAACTATTTCAAGAAAATTCCAAGTTTAGTACTCAAGGTCAACATTCAAAAGTGCTTGTTCGATTATTACTACCTAGTGTTATATATAAAACTTAATTAACACATGATATGATAAAAATAAGTTATATAAACAATAATAATAGTAATAATAAATGCTGATAATATATAATAATCGATAATTTATACATATTGAGACAAAATAATGTTGCTTTCTTATTTGAAATTTGGTAAGCGGATATGAAAATTGATAAGTAAAGGATTAGGATGGCCCTATTTTTATCTAAAATCTTTTCTCTCCTAAATATACGTAGTCAGACGTTCAAAGTTTGCACTGGATTCGGTTCTCTACATGCAGAGGGAGGAAAAATAGAAAAAGAGATTGAGAGAGCAACTCGCTGAGTCAACGCTGTTATCTGCCGCTGACTCGCAGGAACGGTAAGCATTGAAGGTACGCTATCTTTTTGCCGGAGTAAGTTTTCCGTTGTTCACCCAAACTAATTGTCAAACATACAGCCTAATATATACTTGCGATTAATTAAGAAGAATTGTTGCTTAATTGCCTGCTTGATCCAGATACTTTTAAAGTAAATATCTTAGCATTATCTGTTCAAGACTTGGGGCATTTTACCTCTGATATTCAATTTCTTTAGACGATCTTATGCTAAATTTAGTATCAAAAATGGTGTTGTATGCTAAATTTCGTATACTGTAAGATTAATTGTACGTTTGTGTTGATTTGAGTCCAAAATTAAGTCGCATGCTATATATGCAATCCAATAATTTTCAATACTGTTCTGTTCATATACATTATCAGAACTCTCATCATTTCTCCCAGTAATAGAGTCTGGGTATATATTCATATAGGTTATGTTCTCCTATGTTGACACCTTTCTCAATATGATTGATTTTCTGTAGGTTCAAACAAGCTAAGTCTATCAAAATGTACATAAAGCAGGTATTTGTCCTACTTCTTTTGGCCTCTTGGGTCTTTTCTGTTGTGATTTATTCTTTCTCCTTCTATCATCTTTATTTTAATTTGTACATGGGTTATACTGAAGGTCATCATCCAAGGGTTTAAGAGCTATAAAGAACAAGTTGCTACTGATGATTTCAGTCCAAAAGTTAACTGTGTTGGTACTGATATTTTTCCTGTTAAATATACCGTTTATTCATATTAACATAAATACATAATGTACAAGAATTTCTTCTTCAGTTGGTGCGAATGGATCTGGCAAGTCAAACTTTTTTCATGGTATGTGTAGCTCAGTATTATTTTTATCTGTTTTCTTTTGGGTGCTTTATTTGTCAACTTAACCTACTTAAATTGACTCCACAGCAATTCGTTTTGTAATAAGCGACCTCTTTCATAATCTGCGCAATGAAGATAGACACACTTTCCTCCATGTATGCTCCTTGGTTACATTTCTATGATCTCAATTCTCAACTTAACATACTTAAATTGGGTTTTAATCTATTATTTACCATTTCTCAGGAAGGAGTAGGACACCAAGTTCTATCAGCTTCTGTTGAGATTGTATTTGATAACTCTGACAATCGCATCCCGGTAAATCTTCATCACCTACATATGAACAGAGTCTTCTTTGTATGCATTTACAACATTTTCTCTAATTTGTATTTTCTTTTTTAATATTTGAAGGTTGATAAAGAGGAGGTGCACCTCCGGAGAACAATTGGTATACAAAAGGATGAATACTTTTTGGATGGGAAGCATATAACGTGCGTTTTGTAATAGGATAGTTTGTTTCCTTCTACCCTTTGTTATGCCCTTGTTGAATTATTGTTTATCTTGTTGAGTGACATAACAAAGAAGGTAATGCAACATTATAGGAAAACTGAAGTTATGAGTCTCTTAGAAAGTGCTGGGTTCTCCCGTTCCAATCCATATTATGTTGTGCAACAAGGGAAGGCATGTCATCTCTTTTGTCTGGTTTTGATGTGTATAGTAAGTATCAAACTTTTATTAATAAATAACAACCATGCATTTATTGTAGATTGCATCATTGACTTTGATGAAAGATGCTGAACGACTTGATCTACTGAAGGAAATTGGTGGGACTCGAGTTTATGAAGAGTGTCGTTGCAAAAGCTTGAAAATTATGCAAGAAATTGGCAAGTGATTCATTGTTATTGTTAAGTTGGTTGTTTGTTGTATTTGTTGGATGCTTTCTTATATGTTTTATGAAACCAGGAAATAAGAGAAACCAGGTAATTCAAGTGATGCAATACGTGGATGAGAGATTAAAAGAGTTGGATGAAGTGAAAGCAGAGTTGAAGGATTATCAGCAGCTTGACAAGCAGAGAAAGTCTCTAGAATACTCCATATATGATAAACAATTAAATGATGCACAACGGGAGTTGGATGAGGTAAAAAAATCTTTTATATGTTGATTTATTTGGCTTTGACCAAGATCACTCTTAGAATTCCTATAATCATGTGATGATGCCTTATGTAAACATGTATCATTTGATGCAGGTGAACAAGGAGCGACATGGCATTTCCGAGGAATTAGTTAGGTATTCTAAGTCATCTGTAGAGAAAGAGGAAGAATTAGAGAAATTAGATAAGTCATTTAAAGATCTCACAAGAGAAGTTCAGGGTTTGACTCGAGATAAACAAACAATAGAGAAACAACAAACAGTAGCTGTTAAAAAGCACACAGAGGTTGATCTTGATGTCAAAGAACTTGAAGAGAAAATCATTGGGAGTACTAAAGCCAAGGTATTATTGTAACTTCTTAAACACATTACATAGACGTTTATTTTGTAAATGTGTAAGGAGTTCATGATAAAATCACAGAATCATCTTCAATCCGAGGATATGGAAAAATACTTATGGATGCCGGAAAGCTGATTTACTTTTTGATTTAAAAATTAATGCTGCAGGATGAAGCTGAAAAACAGCTTGAGGTTCTGCATAGAGAAATCATGGAGTCCACAGAAGAGCTAAACAAAATCAGGCCTTTGTATGACAAGCAAGTTAAAGAGGAGGAGGATATCACCAAAGAGTACCTCTTCATATTTGACTCCAGATGAAATCGAAGTTGTGTTGTTCTGTTTCCTTTTTTGGCTTTTCTACTCTATATCTTACTTGTTATCTTTGTGTTGAACTGCTTATGCCACAGAATTATGGAAAAGGAAAAGAAGCTCAGCATACTCTACCATAAACAAGGTGGTGCAACCCAGTTCTGTTCTAAAGCTGCACGTAATAAATGGCTTCAAAACGTTATCGATAAGTATAACAAGGTTCTGTCCTCCGATGAGGAGCAGGTAATCATTATATTGCACATGCATTACAATAATATGAATGCATGCATACATTCATACATATTGTAGAACCATGGAGTAGATGTAGATCTCCTAAGTTTTATTTCTTGAATGAAAAACTAAAATTTATAGAACTTCATAACACACAAGGACAAGGTAGCAAATAAAAAGGGCAAGAAACTAAAACAAGTAAAAGAAAAACAAATGAGATCACACTACTCAATCTTATGTTACCCCCCAACCCACCGAGGGCATTCACTAGCTTTCTAATTTTGGAGTGAATTTTTTAATACATACCTATACTTTTTTCCTTCAAAGGAACCCCTATTCATAAAAAGATACATTTAGAAAAATCCTTGGTACAAAATCTATCCCTGGCATTAAGGAGAAGAGCATATTAAATAGGCATTGTCTCAGGATTTTTAGATGAAAGATTTGGGTGTTGCTACACTACTTGAAAGTCACCTTTGAGGTTATCCTGTGTTTCAAACAAAAAGGGTTTATCTTGGAAGGATTTATACATTTAGATTTTGGTGGTTGTTAAGATTCACGTAAAAGCACTATGGGCTATATGGTCACTGTCAAGGGAGTGTTCTTGATGGTTTTTCTTCATGCAATAACATGGCATAATGTGTGGCTATTGTGAGATTTTAATTATAACACAATTGCCTTCTTTTATATGTTGTAGGAGAAACGACTCAAGGATGAAATCGGTAAACTTGAGGGAGATATGGCAGAACAAGATGCATATATTCAAAGTCATCAAAGGGAGATAATTTCTTTAGAAACTCGGATATCAGGTTATCGCGAGGGTCTTAACTGTTACAAGTCAAAAAGGGATGAGCTTCATGATAAGTGGAAGTATACCTATGCTCTTTGGTCCTTTGGATTTTGCATAGTTTAATTTGATTTATCAGATGCTAAAGGTTTGACTCTTTAGGTCTTTGTGGGGGACAGAAAGCAAACTTATAGCTGAAATCGAGCTACTTAAAGTAGAAGTTGTGAAGGCGAAAAAAAGCTTAGCTTATTCTACTCCTGGGGTATGTTAATAAATTAGCATATTAATTTTACGGTGAATTATAGAGAATAACAATGTGCTTTACTCTTGCTATCAATTTATGTACTATCCATAATAGCAACATACTTACATTTTCTTACTGATAATATCAATGTACTTCTATTTTACCCATAATATATAGCAATTTACTATATGCTATCAATATGGTCATTGTACCTTATTTGTTGCATATTGCTATTTCAATAATGAAATGTAAAAACATTGCTATTATGGGTAAGGAATCGTAAGTACGATGGTATTATGTGTGAAGAAAATATAAGTACGTTGTTGTTGTTTGTAAAAAAAATGTAAATATTTTGCTATTATGGATGAAAAATGTAAATTCATTGTGGTTATCGTCAAAAAAAAATTCCAACATTGATAAAAAAAGAGTAAATGACATGGCTATTGCATTCATTATGTATGCATAGATATGTACATATTGATATATACGTACGCACATACACATGTGCATCTTTTGATGATGCAACTCTATAGAGCCCCATTGATCTCACAACTTTACTGGTTTTTAGTTTAGATTTAGTTGCAAGAGCCATTTCCCTCACCAAGTCACCAAAGCACTATGTCTCTCAGTCCCCATCCTATTTCTAAGTAGATTTGGTTTAAATGTATGGTTATATTATTTTCTATCTTACAATTAACAGGATATAAGGAGGGGAATTAGTTGTGTTCGGAGAATCTGCAGAGACTACAACATTCGTGGAGTGTTCGGTTCAGTTATCGAGTTGCTGGAATGCAATGAAGATGTATTTACTGCTGTTGAAGTCACTGCTGGGAACAGGTTGTATATTGACGATTGTCTTTTAAACATGCTTTCTTAGCTAATTAGTTGTGGTATTATTTTTCTGCAGCTTATTCCACATGGTGGTTGAAACTGATGAAATATTTAACAAAGTGATTCGACGCCTTAACACAAAGGAAGGTGGAAGAGTTACATTTATACCTCTTAACCGGGTTAAGGTTCCTCATGTAACTTATCCTCTAGAAACATTTGGTGTGAAGCCTCTTCTTAAGGAATTGAAATATCACCCTAAGTATGATCAAGCATTTTCTCAGGTTAGCAATTTTTCCATTCATTTTTCTGTTTTTGATGATGTGATGATTGCTATCATCACATCATCTCTTATTGCCATTATACCTCCTTTGATTTAAAATGTTGAAGGTCAACCTCATTTCTGTTATATTTATGGTAGTGGTCTAGCTTCTTGGTGATTTAGCAAAACTTAATTCCATTCCATGGTCCAACATTTCTTCCCCTTTCTTGATAGAACTTTTACCATGGCGTCGAACGATTTTTTATATTAAAGTCTTCCACTTAAAGTTGACACCTCTTTTACCATATCCTGGACACAAAAAACTGATATATTTAGCATTATAGCTTTTATAAATAGTTACCATTATAGAGCATATATTCACTTCAATGATTTAAGTCAACAGTTATCCCATATTATACTGGTTTATGAATAGTATTTATCCCCTGAAAGTTTTTAAGTCGGACAATGAAGTTTTGTTTGTTTAAATAAATGGATTTTAATACATTATTTATAGATTTAATTAATATATGATAGTTACATTATGTTTCAAAATGTGTTGTTGGAGAGAGTCCCAACTATAACTGCCTGATTTTATTATGTACGCCGGCAATGGGCCCACTTATAGCCTACTTTAGCGCTTTTATTACATCAAATGCAAATTTAGGATCCACCTCTACCTGGTTATAAACATCAAATCGGGTTTAGATTAGGCTTATCATTCCATAGGTCCACAACCGTTAATTACAAGTCTGTTATTACGTCTAGTCTGGTGATTTACACTAGGTGTAAGCAAAAAGAAAAGACCCAAGCAAGATAACCATCAGGATAAGAATGACTATATACAATTATATTGGCTAGTTTTCATACATACATTGTCTTAGGTTCAGGATAGGAATAGCACAATTAGGTAGTTTTCGTCTATTAGATTCTTATGATAATATAAATCAAGGTCAGGTTCGGTCTTGACTGAATAGGATAAATGGAGAAATCTTTGAATTTCATCATCTCAATTGATACAAAGTGTACATTGCATCAATATATATATATATATATATATATATATATATATATATATATATATATATATATACATATATATATATATATATATATATATATATATATATATATATATATATATATATATATATATATATACACACACAAATTTCCTAATAGAACATACGGCCAAAATTGCATTCCTTCTCAATCCCAATGTAAATAACACTAATTTTGTCGTAGTAAACAATAGAGGTACGAGGCGGATGGGATCCCAATTCAAGAAGAAGGTTCCTAAGTCAACAAATTTCAGCAACTACATTGGCTACACCCTATATTCAGCCTCGACACTAGATCAGGAGATAGTCATCTGTAGTTTCGAGGACCAAGAAATAAGACTATCCTCGAGGTAGATACAGTAGATGGATGTGGAACGTACGGTGTCAGGGGCGCATATGAAAGCCCATAGATGTTGGTTCAAGTCCTTCAAAAACACACACTTACACACACTCAAAACTCACGATGTGCACTGAGGTTCTTTTCTTGGGCGACTTTAAATAAGTCAAAGCCATGCCTTATATAGTCTTACAAACACGAGAATAAAAAGAAAACAAAACAAAAAACTCCATGACTAAGTCTACTTACTGCTATCTTACAATGCTGAAAATAAGGAAAATCCCAAAAGACTAGCTACCCTTTACCCCCACTATTTTATTTCTAATAAATGACAAAAAAGAAATAATAACTTGGTCAAGGAGAAGCCACGTAAATCCAATGTTTTAAAAACCGGTTTTTTAGTTGAACCGGTATGGCAACCGTTTCCCGGTTCGACCGCCAGGTAAACCGATTTCTATATTTCTCATGTTTTTTCAATTTATATATATATATATATATATATATATATATATATATATATATATATATATATATATATAATGAATTTGATGTTTATAAGTTCAAACATTAAAATAAACATAAAAACAAGTTCTAAATGAATCCAAATACATTAAAATAACACATAATCGTAATTTTTAGTGTTTTACATCAATCCATATACGTCAAAAAGAAAAAATATATATAATACCGAAACGAAATATAGATTTAGATGAATACAACCACATCAAAAAACTTTATAACATTTACCGTATGTTTTTATTTAAAGAAAAATAATAGATTTGAAAAAAATCAACAAAGTTTATTATGTAATTGGTTCTTTTTCATGTGTTTTTATTCGGTTTAACCGGTTTATTTTGACCGGTTCAACCGGATTTTTCTAAAAACCAGCCAGTTCAATCCGATTCAGAAACCAATGTAAAACCGGTGATAGTTGAGTTTAAACCGGTTGTATCAAGTGGAGTTTAAACCGGGTTGCAATTATCCATTTTAGCACGATGTAAAATGTCTTAAGCATATTTCTAAGGGATTATTTAGGCTTCAAGTTTCCGGTCATGCTATGGGTCTAGATATGAAGATGTCTAGACATCTAGCTGGACCAAGACTGTTTTCGGGCAGCAATCATGCATATTAGGTATTTACATTTTGTTAGCTTATTTGATACTATAAATAAGATTTACGACTAGGCTAATTTATCTTTGGTTTTGATTAAATAAATAAATAAATTATTTTTGGCATCTCAAGGAGCACAATCTACATCTCAAAAGCGGACGACCGAAACAAACGATGATTTATTGTTTATTTATTGTTTTTACAATTACTTTTCCGATGGATCATGTAACCTATTTATGATCACCAAAAACGTTAAACTCATCTCCAAAATACAAATATTCAGATACAGTTACTTGATGTCAATGCACCGTTCTTTTCCTAAAGTTGAATTCTTTTTTTCTTTAAGGTATTTGCTAGAACATTGCTTTGTGACAACTTGAAACTTGCTACTCATGCTGCTAGTACTCATGGCTTGGACTGCATTACATACGGAGGTCTCTCTTCAATTCCCGTTTTACCCCTCTTTTTCTGCAATTTATCCTTGCCTTTTTTTCTGTTAAGCTCAGTCGTCATCTGTTACAGGTGACCAAGTTAGCAAAAAAGGTTGTATGACCGGTGGATTTTATGATAAAAGATGTTCAAAGCTAAAGTTTATGAAAGTCATTCGACAAAATACCATGTCAATCACTGCAAAGGAAATCGAACTCCAAAATGTCAGATCACAACTTGATAATATCCTTTATATGTCCATATATTTTTCTCCTCTTAAACTGATTTGAATTTTGACACTGGTTTATTTGTGAGGTGTCGTTAGTGGGGTCCCTTGTGTCCTCCGATCGGAAAAGGAGTTTGACAATTTCAACATTTGTTTTGTTTATCCTTCAAGATTGTCCCATTTCTCTCTTTCGAAAAAAAGATTGTCCCATTTCATCTTATGTTAGACTAAGTTTGTTAAACTGTACAGCACAAGCTTTGTTAGGCTATTTATTATGATGAGTATGAGGAGGGCATTAACATCTTTTTACAGACTTGAGATCCCTCTATACCATCTTGTTCCACCTTTTTGGGTGGGACAAAAAATTGCAATATATATATCCAAGAATCAGTCATAGTCCCTGTTTTGACTTGACTTTCAACACTTCTAGACAAGGAAATCAATGCAATTGTTTCTGATCATCAGAAAGATGATGCTAAGCTGCGTCACGAGAAATCAGATGTGGAACAGCTTAAGCAAGAAATTGCTAACTATAAAAAGAACACACGGAAAATCTCCGAAGTTCTAGAAAAGAAGGTTTTCTCCAGACTTTCCATTCCCCTCTTGATGAGTTATTTTCAGTCTTCTTTTTTAACTGTTTGGAGCGTCTAAACAATATGCAGAAGAAGTTGCTTGCAAATGTAAAGACTCAAATTGAGCAGGTGAAAAGTAATATTGCTATGAAAAGAGATGAGATGGGAACAGAACTTGCTGATCACTTAACCCCAGAGGAAAAGGATCTCCTGTCACAATTGAATCCTGAAATAGCAGAACTCAAAGAAAGGCTTATAACAAGAAGGAGAACCCGAGTAGAGGTTGGCTAATAAATGTTACTAGGAGTCAGTTAAAATATAACTTAGTGTGTATAATATGAGTACTTTTTTAACTGATAGATTGAAACAAGAAAAGCAGAGCTCGAGACTAATCTATCAACGAATCTTGCTAGAAGGAAACAAGAACTGGAGGAAGTGAAAGAGTCTCAAGAAACTGATACTTTAAATGTTGAAGCTGAAGCAAAGAAGCAGGAATTGCAAGATGCAAAAATGTTTGTTGAAGAAGTGAAAAAACAGCTCAAAAGTAAGGAGCCTTAGGCCTGTTTAATTTTTTTTTCTCTTTAGTACTGTCTGGATAATGTTTTTTTGTAATTAGAAGAAATGACGGCATAATTGAGTAAATGAAAGGAAAAATAAATAAACTAGAGCAGATTTGAAGAAAGATGGGACTTGGAAATGCCTCCTTTCTCTGACTATCTTTATAAAGTCAAAAAGAAAAACCCATAAAAGTCATAGCTCCACTAAGTTGATTAAGTCATAAAGAAACAAGTTTCTAATATAATTGATAGGCTTCATATTAATTTTCTTTTCACCAGGAGTATGTGAAAGCATAGACGATCGAAACAAGGAACTCATGAAAATCAACAAAAAGAAGAGTGATTTGAAGGTAATGTAGGCTTCTTAATGAGATATTGCAGTATATGTAATTGTCACTCTTCACTGGTAATACGTTAATTTCCTTTGAGTGCAGGCTCATTTGGAGGAGTATAAAAAGACCCGCCAAAATAAAGATAAACGAGCAGAACAACTTATTAGTAGAAAAAACATTTTACGCACAAAACAAGAAGAATACACCAAGAAAATCAGAGGATTGGGTCCCTTATCATCAGAAGTGTTCGAAATGTAAGTCTAGTATTTGAAGATCCATCTTAGTTAGCGTAACTGAATTTCCTTTTATATTGGCTAAGTGGAGTGGATGAGATTGATAAGATTTCTAATAGGAGGGCATTTATGTCTTTTTTCACAGAAGAGAGATCGAAGTGAGCTCTTGTACCACTTTTGGGTGTGAAAAGAAATTCAAATTTTGTCCCATTGTAATAAATTCCAGTCCTAGTCCAATCAAACGGAGTCTGTCCTGTCCTATTCATGTCATGTCATGCTTAAAACTTTGTATACTTTTCATGTTAACATTGTCAAAATACAGGCACAGGTGGAAGAGCATAAAGGAATTATACAAAATGTTGCATGCGTGCAATGAGCAATTAAAGCAGTTTAGTCATGTAAACAAGAAAGCACTTGATCAATATTCCGACTTTATAGATCAAAAAGAAGAACTTCAGAAACGACAACAAGAACTTGATGCTGGTGATGAGGTAATTAGCATCGCTTTATTATGTATCCTATCTTGCTTAAATAATTAGTGATGTAGTAAGCAGAACTACAAAGATAGTAAAGGAAATGAGGCTTTACCATTAAGTCCAAACCTTTTACATATTTGCTCTCATTTTATTTCCTACAATTTCCTCAAGTATGCCATAAGATTTTCAGTTTTTAAAACATTATTTATCTGTGATCTTGTGTATCAGAAAATCAAAGAACTTATATCAGTACTAGACCAACGTAAGGACGAATCTATAGAACGTACATTTAAAGGTGTGGCTAAACATTTTCGAGAAGTATTTTCTGAACTTGTCCAAGGTGGTCATGGATCTTTGATAATGATGAAGAATAAGGTTGGTATTTATCATTTTGTTATGCAGCTTTTAAATATCTGGATTTTTTAACTTCTTGCTTATGTTTTTTTATTAAAGCAGAACGGTGACCCTGCTGATAATGATTATGATGAGGATGAGCTTCCTGTAGCTGATAGAGAGGGGCGCATAGAAAAATACATCGGTGTGAAAGTAAAGGTATGTATCATTTAAATTGGAAGCAAACTCGTCATATTAACCTTGACCACTTTAGTTCTGATTCCGTTAGGTAGTGTTTGGTAGTGGTGGAATCGTTGAAGGAATGGAACTCTTCATTCCATTGGAATAAAAAGAAAATTGGTTGTATTGTCTAATGGAATGGAATAGACCATTCTTGAAGGAATGTGACTCTTGCATATTGTTAATTTTAGTTCAATCTCTGCGGAGTCTTTTTATTACTCCATCGTGGAATGAAATGAATGTTTTGCAATGTAACCCATATTTAGTTGTGTACTTTTAACAACAATATAGTTTTACTTTCTAAAATTTCTACAAAATATTTTTCATCATAATCTTTTAGGATTTTGATAATTTTGATAATTTTATTATGTTCAATTTTAATTTTTGTAAATTAAAAACCTCATTAATTAGAATTGAATAATGTACAAATTAGAGTTAAAACTATACGATTTAAGTACATATAAAAGAGAAAAACATATGAAGATTCATTCCATTCCTACGGGGTCAACCAAACATTGAAAGTAATGACTCACTCCAGTACCTTGCTTATTCCATTACTCTAATGATACCATGTCATCATTCCATTACATCCAACCAAACACACAATTAGGGCTTGTTTGTTTTGTGGATTCCCACATAATCCGACAGATAAGGAATTGGAGATTCTATTCTATAGCAGGTTTGGTTGCCAAAATTCAGTCACGATCCTTCTGAATCCATGTTTTATGGCTTTCGCCCTTCCCAGGGAAGAGTGGAGGAGTTCAAAACGTGTGACTGATTATGATGTTTATTTCTGACTCCTTCATATTCCAATTATTGTTTTGGATTAATATTTCAGGTCTCTTTCACTGGACAAAGGGAGACACAGTCCATGAAGCAATTGTCTGGAGGCCAAAAAACCGTGGTTGCATTGGCACTCATATTTGCCATACAGCGATGTGATCCAGCTCCATTTTATCTTTTTGATGAGATCGACGCTGCACTAGACCCTCAGTACCGAACAGCAGTCGGAAGTATCCTTTCTAGTATTTGAAAATTTGCTTATATGCATTGGACAGGCCTGAAATAGATTTGGAAGGCTATTTTTGGTAATGAAGATATGGATTCACGTGTTTTGCCTAGACGAGAAATTGATAGCGAGTCTTTGTGCCACCCTGTTCCACCTTTTTGGGCGGAAAAAATATTGCAGTAATTGTCACATTCACAAGTCCGAGTCCAATGCATGACAAACACAGTACAAAACCATCTGTCCTTAATGATAGCAAGTTGAAAAGATTATGGACCTTGACTTTTTTCCTAGTTTTTATATTGTTTCTATTCTTGACAACTTGTTTGTAGATATGGTTCGTCGTGTGGCAGATATGGCAAATACACAATTCATTACAACAACATTCAGGCCCGAACTCGTGAGAATTGCTAGCAAGATATATTGTGTGACACACAAAAACCATGTTAGTCGTGTAAATGTTGTCACCGTGGAAGAAGCGTTGGATTTCATTGAGCATGACCAATCACATAATACTAAATGAGGTAGGCCAAGCAAAATTTCACATTTTGTTTCTTTATATCATTCATAAACTTGTAATCTCACAAAAATAGTTTTTAAACCATAGATTATCTTTATTCACAACTTAACCCCACCCAATCTTTCATTAAGAAGTTACCCTCTTTCTCATCCACATATATACAATGTTTAATCCCAACCCAATTTCAGTTTTTCCTTGGTTCAATTAGCAACCTGACCCGACCTTCTAATTATAAAAAATTCATATATTATTAATTTTTTGTTTTCTTAATATTATAAGAATATAGATGTAAAATTATATCATTCCAAAACAAACTACAAATAAAATTTACAAATTTTGAGAAAATGTGGCGATATTAGTCTTTATCTGTAAATGAAAAGATTTAAGAATTTTGGTGGATTTTGTTTTTCTGAATAAAAATAAAGTTTGGTTTACTACTAGAGAAGTTTTCTTCAAAAATAAACATTAAGCATCCAATAAGAATTTACATGTGTTAAACGGACAGACCAACCTTAGCAAGCCAAGGCTGGTTGAACAACCTAATCAGCCATATTCAATTTCTCTTTGTGTTTTTTATTCGATTTTATCTTTTATCTAACATAATCGTACTACTAGACATGTATACATATATATGCGCGCACATATATACGCATATCATGCACTTGAATTCTCATTCATACCATAAATGACAATAAAATGGCTTGCTTTGTATGCATCACACGGATGATTTCCTTGTGTGACCTTTTCACTTGGGGTTTTCAGACAAGTCCTTCCTCCGTTGGTCATGGGTTTCTCCTCCCATATGGTAATGGAGGATATGAGAGGTAGAGTGTGTAAACTCAGAATAATATTGGTGTTACAAGTTTCATTAGATATCATGACTTCAATACATGCATTATCATGAAGATGGGTGTGACAAGTTTCATTGTATATATCATGACTTCAACACATGCATTATCATGAGATTTATACATTGCATTGAAATTTTCTTTATTTTGTTTATATCCAAAACTTGATCTCATTAGGCTTTCTAGCCTAACACTTGATGTTATCAGTAGTATTTCAAGTTTGAAGAAGTAATTGATTAGCTCGACTTATAGAGTTCTGAGGCCTAAAGAGTTGATATCTTTAGAGGAATAGCGATTCAGTCGGGTTTAGCCTGAAAGGCATTACTTCTTGATCGCTTCTTGATGATACTAGACTTTTCATACTCAAGGTTTGATTTGATGAATTAGTACATGATTGCCGGGTTTGAAGATCAATTCCATTTATTCTCGAATTACTGTTTCAATTATAATTAGACAAAATTGCAAAAATGGTCCCTGTGGTATGCATTTTTTTGGGGTTTTAGTCCAAACCACGACTTTTTTGGATTGATGGTCCTTTTGAGCTAGTTTCGTTGCGTTTTTGGTCCCTCCAAATAGTGAAATGACTATAATACCATTAGGGTATTTATTTTTCATTTTTCTTTCAATTTTTTAAATTTAATAGTTATTTTAATTATTTAAAAAAAAAAAAAAAAAAAGAGGGGTCCACCTCTCTCTTTCTCTCACTCACTCCTCTTCACTTGTACTTCCTCCCATCGATCCGGATCCACTTTTCTGAATCCTTACATAAACATCGATCATAACTCAATCAGAAACACATAAACAAAAACTAAACATGAGCTAAATGGTATTTCCAGCAATCCGATTACAGCAACGCCTGTTCCTTCACAAGAAACCCGTCGTTCTAATTCCTCCATAACTCGACCTCGGACTATCAACACAGATCTTAACAGTCAGCTGTAAATCCTCAGGCGAAATGCTCTCAGTTATCTCCATTGAGAAATTCTTCTTTTGCAGAAACCCTTCACAAGGCTCCGGCTCCGGTTTCACAACGCTCTGGTAGGTTTGGTTCTTTTCGTAGTCCATCACCATCTTCCTCAACCACCTGCAACTTTGATTTTTGATTTAGGTTATGATCAGTTCTTGAACACATAACAGGTGCATCTCGATTTATTCTTTTACCCCTGAATCAATCGGAGCATATCACCAGAATACCTTTTAAGATCTCATCGGAGAGGTTGTCACTGTATGAAGATGAAGCAGCTGCTAGTAATGGAGGAGTGATGTTTTTTATTGTCTTCTATCCACTCCTCTCGTATCTTTCTAGTCTTCCATGTCCAAATCAACGATGCTCTCTGATGTCGTAATCCCGTTCTTCATCTTGGACGTACTCCTATAGTTGACCGCATAGCATGTTGTCCAATTTCATTTAAAAATAGAAGAGAACGAGCATTTAAGCCTCCATGCGGCGAGACCATTTTTGTAAATGTCTTACATACAACGACAATTTTCATAATCTTGTCTTATATAGGGTGCATTTATGTAACTTTCTTACATGGGGACCATTTCTATAACTTTCTTGTACACAGAAGAAAAAATTGTAACTTCATTTATTTTCTACATTAGGACCATTTCTGTAATTTTGTCTTAGATTGTAATTGTTTGTGTAATTGTGTTACATAGGTACAACTTATGTAATTTTTTGTCACACATGGATCATTTATGTCATTTTGTCTATTTCAAACTACAACAATCAAAATTGCAATTAAACTCATTAATTTCAAAAAAATATTGTAGCAAGAATTGAGTGTATTGTGATATAATATGTTCTTTCGAATTTAGTGATGAAAATTTTGAAGTTATCAATGAACTGATTTTATAAGACATGAATGAGGAAAATTTTGAAACTACACTATAATAGTTGGTAGTTTTTTGAAAGCACAATACCTCATTAAGAAAAAAAATAATAAAAGTGTGATGTTGCAATAAAAACAAGCGAAAGTAGGCTGCTATAATGTGGAATGCAGGAACTATATGCCACCTTCTGAATTTATAGTGTGGAGGTGTGTAATTGTATCTTTATAATGTGATAAGTACTTCTTTATATATAGTGTATGCATTTCAGCGTGGAAATAGTTTACACTTTATAAGGACAACATAGTAATATGTCAACATAAAAGTGGAGAGTAAATTGACAATTATTAATACTATTGACGGGGCGAGTCTAAAAACCGTCGCCTTCATCACAGCCGTTCAAACTCCCCAACTTTCAATCACAGCCGTAATAACTCAACTTTACGGTTAATCGTAGCCGTTTTCAGTTCCTCCTCACGCGTTCTTTTTCTTCTCCACCACGTTCAGGCTGTGGGGAGTGGTCACACCCAACCCACCGAAAAAGTGTTGCCACATTTGCGTCACGTTAACTTCACCAACAACCCATTGGAAATGGTTACCACTCCACATCATTTTATATTTTTATTTTTGTAATTTTTTATCATTAAGTTAAATAAAAAAAACATAATTTAAAACTTAAGTAATCAATTTACTAATTAAAAATTCAAATAAACATATTATTAATTTTTAAAATTATATAAACATATATAGTTTTATATAGTAGAGGGTTTAATTTAATTTAAATAAAAGTGAAAGGGTATAATAAGAATAAAAGAGACAATCACCGGGTTTCCTTTTTGGTCGTCTTCTTCACCCGTCTTCTTCAATACCTGCAACTGTGATTAAAAAAAAAAATTATTAAATGCTTCAAACGGTCTCAAAATTGACCAACCAATTACCTTTCGTGTCTTCTATTTTCTTTGAATAGATGGAATCAATTACCCAACATGTTTGTTAATTGACAATATTGTACTTTCTTTTAAATGACAAATTGACAAATTGACCACTATTGTGGTTTAGAATAAATTGATTACTGAAACTGTGTTTGTTAATTGTAGTGATTATTTCTGCCTTTTGTTAACACCAAAAATAACAATATTTGCAACATTGCTTCACTGGTTTCACTCCTTGACACAACAAGAGGATAATAATTAAAGGGTTTTTTTTAACATGTATTCTCTGTTATAGTAGAAGTAATGCTTTATGTTCTCATTTTCTATCCAATATTGTATGGTGGATGGTAGAAAAAGGCTACAATATACCATGTAGTGTTTCTGCAATGAATTCGCAAACCCATCTAATGTTTCTTTATGGTTCGTTTATTTACCTCAAATTCACCTATAAGGTACCTCATTCCTCCTCCAACATTCCCTGTGGTTTACTACAGTTTTACTTGACCAATTGAATTATATAACGTTAAATATCACTTTCCCCTCAATTTTATTTGGTGTTGATATCAACCATGGAGAAGAAGAATAACAACTAGAAGATTGGCTCAATTTCAATCAAGAAACTTCAATTTCGATGGTAGGTATGTTTCATTCTCTCTCTCTCTCTCTCTCTCTCTCTCTCTCTCTCTCTCTCTCTCTCTATATATATATATATATATATATATATATATATATATATATATATATCAAAAATAACATAAAAATGAGTTATGGAACAGAAAAAATAAAAGATAAAAGGGGCATAAATGAATCTAAAATGCTTATCCTTTTGCAATTTAAGTGTATCAACAGTGTATAGTAAAAACCAAAAACTTTTGTCTCCATTTTCCTTATAGGCAAATGGAATTACGTGTATTTTGATTTACTGCACTTTCAATTTCTCTAATATCAAGACATTCTACCTATAAAATCTAGCAATTATAGCACTTTACTATTGAGTTAGGCCATGAATTGGACAATATGCATCATGCTTCATGCAAGGAGAATCCAACCACTAATGAGTGGACCCCAGCACCTATGACAGTAAAACTGGAATTAACTTTAATTTTTTTAAATATAAATAATTTGAAAGAGATCTTGGTGAACTTTCTATTTCAGAATTTTTGTCTCTAATAAACATCAAAGGAGCGATAATTGAAATGGACTATTTGCTTCAGATGTAATCAAATAGCAAGACAAGTAGATGACAAACAAGTTTTGTGAATTATGAGGGTATTCCGGTTGAAGTTTCTGTTGTAAATTGAAAAATATACCCATTATAACATTCTACTTTCTTTTCTGTTTATTACAATATTGTATTGTCAAAATTTCTTATAAAGGCAATGTAATTTGAAAACGTATGTCTTATAGCATTGTACTTTCAAATTCTTCATTCGCCAATTTTTTAACATAGTTTATTTATCTTATAGTTGATTTGTTTTTGCTATTGTTCACGCTTTTATTTCAGGCGATGAGTGTTTCTTACCTTCACAATAGATCAAAAAATAAGTTTGTAGGTGTTTATATAATTGGAACAAATGAACGATATAAGTAAAAAAAAAAATATTGAATTTCATAATACAATGCTATAATTGGAACAAATGAAAGCACAATGTTATATAAGAAAGTAAAATCGATTTACAAGTGGTGTGTTTGGAGAACTTTTATCACATTCTTTTGTTTAATAATAATAAGGTACACTATCAAAATTTCAAAAAAAATAGCAGTGTACTTTATCAAAATTCTTAGATTCCAACAATATACTTTTGCAACAATAGCATATATGATTCACATTCAACCACTTTGATCTTGCTCTTATTTTCGAGTTTTCTGTTTATTTAAATGAATTTATGTTAAGTGTCAATTGAAAATTTAGAAAGAATGATGCTCGACTAGACCTGGCAATGGGGCGGGTTTGGAGCGAATCGACCTTGATCCAAACCCTTTTAACAAATTTCAATATCTGATCCAAACCCGTTTCGTAACCCACATGGTTTTGAATAATCAAACCCATACCCTTATCCACCGAATCAGCACATACCCAAACCCACCACATAAGCCATAGGTTTTTTGAATAATCAAACACATTTTACTTAAATCATAAAATAACATTTATAATAAAACAAATGTTGATTTAGAAAACATATTACGTACTCGAGGACTTTTGATTGGAAATAAAATCATTGCTATGGTAACTTCCGATTGGTTTTTGAACGTTGATTGCATTGATAGAGATTATCAATTGCAAACTTTCTTCTATTTGATAAATGAATTTGTTGATTTATAAATGAAATTTATGATTTCTTGATGAAGTATAAATGAAATGACATCATGACTCTTGGTAGAAGACTGTAAGTTTAGAAGTCGAGTCCTCGAGTCCTATGTAAAAACAGTTTAGTCTTTGTCCTTTTCTTTTTGGGCTTTCATTTGGAATTAAAAGTAAATTTTAGGCAGTATAAAAGATAAATATATAATTATAAAATTTGTACGGGGCAGGTTATAAACGGAGCGGATCGGTGATGATCCATATCCGAGCTTTTTAATAAAAGGGTTAGCGGGTACGGATCGTTAACGGGTAAACGAATCAAAAACTATGCTCCAAACCCATATAATTCTTAAGGGTTTGGATCGGATCAGGGTCAAAACCCGCTCCATTGCCAGATGTAGCTCGAAAAATTGTTATTATTAGGTTATCATGCTTTTTTATTTTGAATCTTGATGTTTTTCGCTATTGTTTTCTATAGGAAAATTTTAGTCATTAGTATTGGATTGTTGGAACTGAAACTGGATATCGGTTACATCTGTTCTTTTAATTTTGGAACCGAAACGGTTCCGGTACATGTTACCTGATTTTATAACATATAGAAAGTATAAAAGTAAAAAATATAAAGTAGCATTTTCTAAAATGAGAATACTTATCATAACATTAAAATATGTGTTAACTGTGGTTGTGGTAGCATGATATTACCCTCATTTTTATTAGGGTATATAACTTGTCATAAATTTAGTGTACATATTTTGCAAGGCAAAAACATGTTTTTACCGGAAACATTCATATCTATTATGAGTTTTATTTCTTATTTCTTACTTCAACCAGGTGCGAAGAAAAACTCATTTGATGATCTTCATGAACAATGTCTGTATTTTTTAGTAAGAATGACCTTTTGTTATGTATTCAACATAATAATAGATATTATTTCAAGAGATAGAAAGATAATCATTGCTAATATAGGAACGAATGAAAGATATATGCTATAAAAATAAGATAAATCAATATATTGTTTATACATTTGTCAACTTGTCCACCGGACGGGTATGACACTAGTTTAACTTGTTGGTGGACTTATCATGCATAAGATGTTTATGTATCACCAATTTGAGCAACAAACAAATACATTAATGAAGTGAAAAAGGAGAAAAACTAAATAAAAGAAAAGCAAAAATTTTCATAAACAATTTGTAACATCCCGTTTAAAATAAAATAATTTAATAAAAATCCAGAACCCCGAGAAGTAATTTTATTATTATTTTATATTATTATTGTC